TAAACAAGCACTCTAAGATTACTGAGAAAAAAATATTTTCAATAATTCACGATAAACTATTTTTCATTATTTTCCTTCAAAAATCATTTTCCACAAATTTTTGTTTCAGCCTCGTACGAGTATCGATAATAAATTATAATTTGAGCCAGGTCTCGTGAACAAGCACTCTAAGATCACTCAGAAAAAAGTATTTTCTTTAATTCACGGTCCACTATTTTTCATTACTTTCCATCAAAAATCGTTTTCCACACATTTTTGTTTCAACCTCGTATATGTATCGATAATGAATCATAATTTGAGCCAGGTCTCGTGAACAAGCACTCTAAGATTACTGAGAAAAATTTATTTTCTATAATTCACGATGTACTATTTTTTCATCATTTTCCTTCAAAAATCGTTTTCCACACATTTTTGTTTCAACCTCGTATAAGTATTGATAATGAATCATAATTTAAGCCAGGTCTCGTGAAGAAGCAGTCTAAGTTTCCTATGGGAAATTTTTTTCCATGAAATAATGATCGTCAAAACGAGTTTTCTAGAAATTTGTGTTTTTAAACATATTTTTGTTTTATCAACTATGTATATATTCATTATTATTTTGCATTGTATATCGAGAAAAAATAGCTTGAGACACTTGTGAATATAGGATCCATCAATCATACTACCATCAATTATTTCAATTTTTACGGAAATTAAAATTATTTAGCAATATTTCTTTTATTGAAATGCCAATAGAACTCTTGGAGACTTGGCAACACTGCGCAATAATGTAGTTCTATCCCACCATAGGTTGTCTCTACATCAGAAGTTGTGGATGAAAATTTGTGTATAACTTCACACTGATAATACTTGAACCAAGAGAATATGATGATTTTATTAAGACTGATGAAAATTTGTGGAGAACTTCATACTAATAAAACGTGAACCAAGGGAATATGATGATTTTATTAAGACTGATGAAGTGATTACTAAGATTGATAGTTCAAATGCTTTGTTTGATGCTAATAGAAAAACTTCTTCATAAAAATGAAAATATGAAAAGGTTATGAGTCAGTACTTACAAACTGCAACCTTGGCAAAGAATGAAAACCCCATAAACCCCATCATGAACATGACATTGAAAAAAATCAAAATCCTGATATATTTTCATGAAAATGAACAAATAATATTGCTTCTACTATTTCGGACATAAAGAATTTTCTTCTAAAATTTACTTAAAATCTTTCCGCCAAACATATGTGGTAACAAAATATGACTGTTCTGAAAATATTGAATTATCTTATTCAAAATTGTGTGACATTTTCATGAGTTTTCTATAAGAATTAAAAAAAAGTAACAGAGGTGATTCCTGAAAGATCCAAAGGAAGTTTTTTTTTAAATTCATATAATTCTGTTTTATTGAAGCACCAAGAAACATTTAAAATAAGTGTTACCGACAAGTTTGATGTACCAATATCTGAATTTTATTCACATGCAAATTCAGTAACTTGCTTTAATATTTGATTTATTTTGAAGTTTTTTGATTTCAGGGGACGGAAAACTTATGAAAGTCAGAAAAATCACGACTGTTTTTGAAAACTTGATGGAATTTTGTTAATAATGTGTACAAATGAAATGGATACTTCATGATATCTCCATATAAATTATAAGTTTATATACATTGGAACAAAATAATCACCGGTTCTTATGTTTTGAATATGATTTGTCAAGTATTTTCAGGTACAAACCAGTTAGACAAGTTCACCGAGTATATGAAACCCAGTTCGACACAGTAAATTGAAATAATTTTCATCTGCCACATTAACACCAAATCAATTTGCACTTTGAAAGTGAATCAAGTTGTAAACTTACCGTGATTGAATCAAAAAATTTTCCTATCGTAGTCTTTGTCAATAGTTCATCAAATTCTAGGCTAAGTTTCTTATAAAGAAATCGCTTTATAGATTCCGAGTGCCGNAGGCTAGCTTATATGCTAATTGAAAAAAAAATACTAAAATGCGAAAACAAAGACTAAATCAAAGGTAATGCAGAACTTGGATCACAAAAGCTTCAAAAGTCTATGAATTTCAGAGATCAACTTCATAAAAAAACAGAGTCCGTCATACAGTCGTTCCACTTTTATGCACCAGTTGCTTGGGCACTCAACAAAGGCGTCAGCTGTTATTGTTCATCCTTGATTATTTATTATTATCAGTAATAATGTATTCAAGTAACACTTTACTGTGAGATTTCCACTGAACAGTTTACAAAACCACAACACGTGTGAAATGGGAGAACACTTTCGCTTTTCATTGTAATGATAATCAGTATGAAGCGGTGAAATGGCGCATCCGTATTGCGCCCGACTCACGATCAAAAACTCGTGAGTTTGATCCCAACCTCGACTAAATGTTTTACCCAAGAGAGTGTATCTAGTTGAAGTTGGGATGAGTCTGTAACGTTATATGGCTGACGGACTACAAATAGCCATAATGCTCCCTAGGTGAACCGAGATGTTATTAACATTGCCTACCGAGAACATAAAGGCTGATGCGCAGAATAGTCGCTGCCGTTGACATCACTAAGAAATAATAATCAGTACAGCTTAGTAAATCTAGCTTTGCTTTTGAGATGCACGAACGATAAATAAAGAGAGATGATAACTTTCCACTACCAACTTATATCAGAGTACAATCGGAAAAAATATTTTGGCTTGAATAAATTCGGCAAGTGTTGACTAAGTACCTACTACAGTTATATACCAGTAGGAAACGGGATCCCCAATTCTTTCTTTTGTCCAAGTGGAAAATAATTGAAAGATAATGAGTGATATATAATTGCAAATGATATATACGTACATGCATAATTGATAGATATTCGAATATATAGTTAAGTACTATAAATGGTTATGAAACGTAGCAGGTGATAATCTACTAAACATCGCTTGCAATATTGACAATAACATACCACTCTATCGGTAGATACAATTTATATAATATTTTCGAAGATTATTTGCCTAAATATAAGATCATCTTGCCTTGGAATTAGTCCTTGGAACTAGTCCTAGGCCTGAATATTCCCATTACAACACCCCTGAATATGCTCATTACAACACCAGATGATTACAAAATAATTATAACAGATGCAATGAAAAAGTCAATGAAATCTTATTGGAGTTTATTTGAGTCTCCCCAAGACACTATTCAACATGGAACCAAAAAAGGAAAATGTACTGAGAATAAAAATTGTCCCCTAACTCACTACTGAAAGGCGAGTTAAACAAATACAACAATAATTATATTAACAATCTTATAATGCAACTCTTGATACTTTATAAAGCTCAGATCAGACCTTCTTTGGAGTATTGTTCTCATGTATGGAACTCTGCCCCCAAACTTCCCTGAAGTTGCTGGATTCCATTCAGAAGAGAGCCATCCGCCTGATTGGAGACGGGAACATCACTTGCAACCTTGATAATCTAGAGCCGCGATCAGCAACAGGAAAGGTTGACCCGCGGACCGCCCCAATATAGTATTATATACCAAGTACATAAAAAAAATCGTAGATGACGTAAACCATACCTTTATCAATTAAAATAACAAATCAAATCTAACTTAGTATGTATTCTATTTTAAGTTGCCTAGGTAACTTGTTTTACCTACTACTGATAAGTTTCCTATTTAGCCTGTGTGTGTGTGTGTGTGTGTGTGTGTGTGTGTGTGTGTGCGAATCAGACTGATGAGATTATTGCGATTTAAATATTTTCAAATATCTGTTATGCATACGAAACATCCATAGATGAACTTCGTACCATTTTTTCGGAAATATGTGCGGGAGCATTTCACAGCGCACCGCGTACTTACCTTACTTCAGCGTGCTTGCCCATTGTGTTTTGTTGAAACAAGCACGGCGTATCGAATTCGATAGTGGGGGAGTGGGAAAGGACTGAAAGCAGACTGCCAGTCATCTGTCATTTTCATTCGTTTGATAAAAAATATTTCTGTACCTACGTTGATATGGATCCTAAAAAACTAAAAGTCGACAGAGAAAATAGGTTTTTACCCTGCCTGATAGACCTCAAGCGGTTCCAGTGTGCCTTGTATACAATAAAACTGTGGCTATTGTTAAAAGTGGAAATTTGAAGCGATACTACGAAACAATTCATCAGCGTAGCCACAAAAAATTATCTCTTGGCAGTCAGGCTCGTAAATAAAAAATTCAGGTATATCTCAGTTATTACGAAAAGAGTAAAAAATTACTATAGTCCGTTCATAATTTGTCGATAGCACAAAATGAGGGCCCAAGTCATAAAACGGTCGTAAAACTCGTAAAATCATAGGCGGAGGTTCCTGAGGTGTTTATTCATTAAATATAAAGCTTCAGTNCACAATGTTATTACTTAATTCAGGAACCTTTCAAAAATTTAAACTCATACTGTTTTTCTTTTCTGAGCATTTCATTTTTATTGTGTACTGTGTACATAAAAAACCGCACAACTCCAAGGAGATCAGTTGCGTAATATTTGACACAGAACAAATTATTTTTGTTTACTTCGGAAGTAGAACATACCTTTGGCAAATCATGCTTATGAAAGATTTAGTGTTCCGTGTTCAAAGATTTAAGCTGGATTCGCACAGCTGCGTAGCCGATATATCGTAATCGTGTCATCGGACAAAATTCAATGAATCTGATACAAATTTTGTGAAGAATGTGTAATTGATATATGTGTTTCTTGATTTTTAAGGTATATTTTGTAATAACGAAAATTTCAATTGAGAATTTTTTATATATTAATTTCTCAAAATATCTATGATTTGAAACAAATGACTGGTTGTTAAATTTACATAATTTCGATTTCTTGTTTTTTCTTATAGAAGTCAAAGAGGAAAAATATATTATGTGGTAGTGTTATAGAAGTAGGTAGTTAAAACAGTTTGGTATTGGTGTTTTATCGTTTATTTTCTCCATTATCGGAATGAATTTAATGAATTGGATAGTGATGCGCCGAACTAAGGAACAATCCCTATTTTTTATGTAGATAATGAAGAATGAATATTATGAAGAAAGAAATGATTATTATGTTACATAGGTAGAATGATATTTGTACTGATAGCAGAAAATCATTGTAGTATTTTTTTAAACTGACCTTTACTCAGTTTGAAATCATTTGTGTTGTTACGTTCAGTTGGATTTAATTAGGATCAACATCGGCTAGGCTAGCTTATATGCTAATTGAAAAAAAATACTAAAATGCGAAAACAAAGACTAAATCAAAGGTAATGCAGAACATGGATCACAAAAGCTTCAAAAGTCTATAAATTTCAGAGATCAACTTCATAAAAAAAACAGAGTCCGTCATACAGCCGTTCCACTTTTATGCACCAGTCGCTTGGGCACTCAACAAAGGCGTCAGCTGTTATTGTTCATCCTTGATTATTTATTATTATCAGTAATAATGTATTCAAGTAACACTTTACTGTGAGATTTCCACTGAACAGTTTACAAAACCACAACACGTTTGAAATGGGAGAACACTTTCGCTTTTCATTGTAATGATAATCAGTATGAAGCGGTGAAATGGCGCATCCGTATTGCGTCCGACTCACGATCAAAAACTCGTGAGTTTGATCCCAACCTCGACTAAATGTTTTACCCGAGAGAGTGTATCTAGTTGAAGTTGGGATGAGTCTGTAACGTTATATGGCTGACGGACTGCAAATAGCCATAATGCTCCCTAGGTGAACCGAGATGTTATTAACATTGCCTACCGAGAACATAAAGGCTGATGCGCAGAATAGTCGCTGCCGTTGACATCACTAAAAAATAATAATCAGTACAGCTTAGCAAATCTAGCTGTGCTTTTGAGATGCACGAACGATAAAGAGGGATGATAACTTTCCACTACCAACTTATATCAGAGTACAATCGGAAAAAATATTTTGGCTTGAATAAATTCGGCAAGTGTTGAACAAAGTACCTACTACAGTTATATNCCTACAGGCAGTAACGTTGAGATAAGTGGTTTGAGGACACGCTCCTATTAAACAAAACTTGAGAAAATTGTTAGTCCTATATTCTGATATGATGGGGTTTGGTCTTAAAAGTCGTAATTCGTATGAGTCGTATGTCATCATTCAGATTCATTTAATAAAATTTAAAATTCAACAATGAAATCCCTAGATATTGCCCGCTTCAACATGAACAGGGTATTTTGACAATTGAGGAAAATTTGCGGAACCGCAAAAATATTATCGCAATCGTTCTGATATGAACTCGCCTTTATACTGATCATTGTTCGTTTACTGTTAGATGTCACTATTACTGTCCTGACAGCCCTGACTTGATATTCTGTGCTTTGACTGCCCTCATGTAGTGAAAAGTAAATAAACAACAAATGTTTGTTTTCAATAATTTGTTTTAGCTTTATTAATTTCATTATAAATGTTTTAAATATCCTAGAATGTACAATGTCTTGCAGCTATGCAGATGGATTATCTCATTATGAAAACAAAGGAGTATTGGGCACACCAGAAAAATTTGATACAGAGCAAAAAGTTGAAGAAAAATGTGAAATTTTAGTGGAGTGGTTGAAAAATTCTAAACATGTAGTAGTGCATACAGGGGCAGGCATCAGTACTTCCGCCGGAATACCAGACTTTCGGTAAGTAGTAAAAAATTAGAAACTGATTTTATAGGACAAATATACTTGCATTTTTGAGAGATATATTATGTGACAAGGTATATTAAAAAAATCGAAAAGTTGCTGAGATCTTAAAATGATGAAGAACCTGGGTATTATTTTTTTCATTGAAAATAATGTTCAGTCATTATATACATTAAATCCCCTCCGCACTGAAAATGTTGGGTTTTATATCATAAAATGTCGGCAGTTCTCTCTGGTGATGATTTCCAAACTTCATATCTTTCTTTCCAATATGTTTTCCGTGAACCAGCTGTTCCCCCTCTCCCCCTAAGGATTAACGAGGTCTTATCTTTTAACGTGCAATTCATAACATCATATTGATATTGACTCCCATGAAAAAATACACCATAAAATTTTGAGAATATATGCATTCAAATTAGCACTTGAAAGATAATTATATTATAAAAAATTCTTCAAATATTGAAACAAATTTCAAATATTAATAGATTCTTGAGCATAGGTGAATGGAGAAAGGTCTTTGTTTTCTGCATGAAATCATTATCAATCATATCTCATAACCAGAAATCCTTACTTTAATTGAGCTCAACCTCAAAGAGAAATGAACCAATAGATGAAGAACTAAATATACAGGTAGCTCATATAGGAAGATCTTGAAATAATATCTGGTAGTGTTTGTGTAAGATGATGAGCAGAACACGGCAANAAGAACAAAGTTGCTGCAACAAATATGCTTGCCGTTCCAATCTTACTCTACTCATTTGCAGTAGTGAAGTGGACTCGGGAGGAGCTGTATCAACTCGACGTAAAGACCCGAAAAATGATGCATCTCTGTAGGAGTTTGCATCCCAAATTGTTCGTTTCATGGTTGTACCTTCCCCGACAACAGGGAGGCCGTGGACTTTTGAGTTTAGTGTCTACATGACAGAATGGTACTGGATATAGCCTGTAAAGTCTGCAAGCATTTCTCTTTAGCATTTCTCTTTAGGGCAGCTGCCCGAGCAGCTGATGAACTCGGTTTAGTTTTCAACACTGAACGAGGTGATCACAACTCTGTCACCGAGTTGGAACCCGTTCAGCAGAAAGCTCATATAAAAGCCGCAGAGATTACCTCACTTCTGCGGAAACACAAGGATAAGCCAATGCATGGGGTCTTCTTCAATAACATTGGATACCTTGGCTTATCAAAGTGCCTGACTTTCGCTTTCCTCAGGTCGAGTGGGCTGAAGTCGGAAACTGAGGGGTTCATCATGGCTTGCCAGGATGGTGTCTTCAACACCTTAGTCTATCGCAGTTGCGTGATGGGTATAGAGGTTCCTGACACAAGGTGCAGGGCCCGCCGCGAGGCGCCCGAGACCCTAATGCACTTGCTATCAGCATGTTCGGCCTTTGCGGTCTCGGCTTATCTCCATCGACATAACCGGCCCTAACAGTGCTATATATCCATCTACGTCACTCTTACGGTATTGACAAGACACCGGTGTTGCCCTACGCTCCGGGGGATATTGAGTCCGTTGTGGAGAACGAGAAGTGCCAAATTTATTGAAACTAATCGTTCCCCACCATCAGGCTCATACAAGCTAATAAGCCTGATGTAGCCCTTCTCGACCACCAGAGCAAGACGATATTTGTCGTTGAGTTTTTAGCTCCTGGCGAGACGAATATCGTCCGAAAAGAGCAAGAAAAACGGATAAAATATCGAGATGTTCTCTTTGAACTACGCAGACTTTACCCAGACCACTCTGTTGAGATGGTTGTTCTGATTATTGGAGTCCTTGGTGGAATGATGCCCTATCTACTCTCGAATCTTAAAATCATACCGGCCTGCCGCACTAAGGCAGAAATCTTAGCCGGACAGATGCAGGAGGCTGTCATTCTTGGCTCACTGTGCTTGCTTAGGGCACATGATTCTCGGACCCAATGATCACTTACCCCACGGTGTGGGGAGGGGTCGTTGGTTGATAATGCTGGCGCACCCTACCGAATGTATCGGAGCTTCAGGGGATAGGGCCTGACCAGCGCATACTTCGTTTTAAAAAAAGAATAATAATAGTAATATTGAAGTCTCCCACAGAACCAACCCAAGAACAAGCATCTGTTGTTAATCTTCAACATGCTTAAGAATCTATATGCTATATACTTAAAAAAATATCAATTAATTTATAAAAAACAACAATCTGTACACTATTTTTAGAAACGAAAACCAACCAGGATAGTGATACTAAATATAGAACCTGGGACATAATTCACAAAAATGGATTCACCATCAACAACCCAATCCTCACAATCCTCAATGAAGCTGCATTATACAAGTATTCGCTTACTAATGGAGATTTTAATGTGAATCAAACCATAAGAAACCGTTTCAAAACATTTATAGAAAATTCTACATTCAAAATGGCAGAAACTTTCAATCATATTTTTAATGGAAAATAATCTTGACAGTGGTCCGATCTTATCCTGTATACAGGCAATCTGTAAATAATATACACTTGCAGATCTCGGATCAGATCATCTTGCCTTGGAATTAGTCCTTGGAACTAGTCCTAGGCCTGAATATTCCCATTACAACACCCCTTAATATGCTCATTACAACACCAGATGATTACAAAATAATTATAACAGATGCAATGAAAAAGTCAATGAAATCTTATTGGAGTTTATTTGAGTCTCCCCAAGACACTATTCAACATGGAACCAAAAAAGGAAAATGTACTGAGAATAAAAATTGTCCCCTAACTCACTACTGAAAGGCGAGTTAAACAAATACAACAATAATTATATTAACAATCTTATAATGCAACTCTTGATACTTTATAAAGCTCAGATCAGACCTTCTTTGGAGTATTGTTCTCATGTATGGAACTCTGCCCCCAAACTTCCCTGAAGTTGCTGGATTCCATTCAGAAGAGAGCCATCCGCCTGATTGGAGACGGGAACATCACATAATTATCGGAAATACGTGACGAACTGTAGCTGCTCATCGTTTTGAGGTTCAACTCAGTACAGCTCGAACTTCACTGCTTAAGCACTCTTTCATTCGGAGAACTACGTGTATATAGAATAAACTTTATGAGAACGTTTTTTCAAATGCACAGACACTACTCTTAAAGCGCCTTAAGGCTTTTCCTGTAGTGCGTGTGTTCTGTTCTTTAAAAAAATAATGAGATCCCTGGATTCGTAGATACATGGTCATATAATAAAAATATACCAATACTGCTTGAACAATCACCACTTTCTAACAGTGTGGAAGGTAGGAATGATAATAACCATTCTCAAATCCTTTAACTATATTACTTGAATTAGGTAAAAACATTGAAAATATTATGAGGCGTTTTATTAACGAACAACGAAACATATTTCAGTTTACCATGGAAAAAAGGAATACAACACATCCGCTAGCAATCATAGCTTCCAACATGCAAACAGCAAAACACTTGATTCTTCATTCCACATCAAGTTTAGACTAACACTAACAGCAAATCCTGGCAACGTTCTATATATCATGAAAAAGTACTTTAAAAGCAGATCTCTTAGCATGAAAATAGGACATTCGGCTCAGAAGTTTGATAGAATACATAAATTAGCTATTATTGATTAATCAAAATACTTCATTCCTACGTTTTGTGGGTTAGGTTAGGTTAGGTCCAAAGTGAGTGGGTCTATTCGACCCTCTACCGTAATCCGCAAGGGTTTATTGTGGCTCACACCTATTCTCACTCGGCCAAAGAAACCCAGCTTCTTAACGAAGCCAATTAGTTTATATGGTGAGTGGTCTTTCAGGTCAGATGGTAAGAATACGGCTCTGCCGAACTCTAAAGACCTGATTCGATCCCCAGCGGGGCAGGCACAAAGTATATGCTCTGTTAATGAGGTAGTCGGATAGTCAAGTTGCAAGATTTCCACCTTGATACCACCTTGATACCTTCCCATATGAGGGTTTTTGCACGTCAGCTACACCTGACAATGCCTTAGATTCAGCCGTGCAGGTCTTTTTCACCTCTGGTTTTGGTGAAACCTCAATTGAGCGCAAACGTTTGCTAACCTGCTCATGGGGGGTTAATTCCCCCACCTGAGACAGATTCTGCGTACGCCGCAGCTCTCGCTCCTGAACTAAGTTTACAGGGAGGTCAATTGGAGTCGTAAACTCCAATTGACCTAACTAAACCAATTGAACTAAATTTACAGTGAGGTCCGTTGGAGTCGTACATTCGACATCCATCTCCTCTGTAGACTCGATCCTGAACTAAATTTACAGAGAGGTCCGTTGGAGTCGTAAACTCGACATCCATCTCCTCTGTAGACTCGCTATGGAGTCGTAAATTCGACATCCATCTCCTATGTAGACTCGTTCCTGGATTAAATTTACAGGGAGGTCAGTTGGAGTCGTAAACTCGACATCCATCTCCTCTGTAGACTCGCTCTTGAACTAAATTTACACGGAGGTCCGTTGGAGTCGTAAACTCGACATCCACCTCCTCTGTAGACTCGCTCCTGAACTAAATTTACAGGGAGGTCCGTTGGAGTCGTAAACTCGACATCCATCTCCTCTGTAGACTCGCTCCTGAACTAAATTCACAGGGCAGGCAGTTGGAGTCGTAAACTCGACATCCATCTCCTCTGTAGACTCGCTCCTGGATTAAATTGTACAGGAAGATCAGTTGGAGACGTAAACTCGACATCCATCTTCTCTGTAGACTCGCTTCTGATCTAAGTTTACAGGGAGGTCAGTTGGAGTCGTAAGCTCGACATCCATCTCCTCTATAGACTTAGCGTCAGAAAGAATTTTTTAAGTTTACTCTGTCCATAAAGGTCCCACGAGTAGCTAGGTGAAGAAAGTCAATCACGGCAGAGCCCCGCATTACCGTGACAAGGTGAGAGGGCGATCCTGATAGGATCAGTGTCATTCATCCTCTCGGCACGGATACACAAACCTTAGGATTAAGCCATCGTTGGGATGTCATTCAGTTAGGCAATAACAGAACCACAAGTGATTTTGTTATTGCCTGTATCCAGCGGGGCTACGTGGAAGCAGGTATCCGATGGCTAGTTTGCTCAACCCCCACATCCAAAGCCAATGCACTTGCCGAAAACAGCATGTACAGTGGTTCAGGCAGTGAAAGATGAACAAGGACAGCCAACCCACCATCGTTTTGTGGGAGTAATATATCCAAAATGTTATACACGGTGTTCTGAATCGATTTTACTAATTTGAAAATGTTTATTCAAAATGTTTCAAAAGAGCGAAAATTCAAAAATACTGCATTCTTTTCAGACAAAATATAAAAACTATTTCAAAATAAGTTCAAAGACATTTATGTTAACTTCCATGCACTTATTAACTCTCTTTATCAAATTGTTATTGACAGTACGAATGATATAATTGGCATCTAGGGTACTGCAAGACATTTTTTATGCATTGTATATGAATACTTTATCGTTTAATACAATAAAAATGTTATGGAAACAAATGGAGGTAGTTTTTGATTCATTGATGTTGTCATTTGTATAAGTGTATTTTATGAATTCGTGACCACAATGTCCCGTTTAGGTTATATGAACAAAGATTTTTTTAAATTTGAATATAATCTATAGTGAATGTAATCAACTTATTGACCGGACACGCAGGTTATTTGCCGAAAGGTATCCCGAAAACTCAAACCGAATCACAATTCTATAAAAAGGCTGTTGAAATCTTGTTTGCATCATGGATAATTTTTTTTCGAAAAATAACCAAACGAAAGCCTCAGATGGATAATGAAGATTTGGAAATAGATGTTCTTGGATATTTTGTTGCTCATCCGAATGCATCTTTGAAATATTGTGATAAAAACCTACCAGTTTAACCCAGAACTGTTCACCGCATGTGGAAAAAGCATGGAAACCGTTCAAATATCAACTGGTACATCATCTGAAAGATACGGATTTGCATCATCAAACTGAGTTTTCTGAATCGTTGCTGATAAAAAGTCAGGAATATCCACATTTTCTCAAAAAAATTATATGGAGTGATGAAACTAAGTTTACCAAAAATGGATAATTTGATCGTCATAATACACCTTACCCATGAGTAATATTTCCAAGAAAGTTGGAGTTTTTTCCTTTATCGTGCTCTAAAGCACAATAGGATTGTACATCTATGGTGAAAATTTGAATGGTTTAGAATACTGTAACATACTACAAAATGTTGTATCTTCGTTAATAATAGTCACATCATATCGTGTAGCACATCAAATGAAAGAGAAACGAATGCAGAATGTATCGACTAAGAAAAAACAAAGACGATGCCAACAGGGCACTAAGCCGCATCTTCTTTAATAATGTTTGGATCTCAACGTGCATCACTTCAAATGAAAGGAGGAAGGGTATAGAATTCATAAAGAGAACTCAAAAGATAACGTCATGTCAAAAGGACACTAGTTCACATCTTAGCAGACAGATTATGATGTAAAGCACATGAAAGGGGCATAGATGTTGAAATTGATGAAGAAACACATGGCGACATGTCAAATAGGCATAAGGTGTGCATGTGATGAAATGATTTCGAAATTCGTATGAGAAGCGTATGTAAAATTGTAGAGATCTGGAGAAAAAAAATGAAAAGTTGATATTAGGTTATGAATAACTGTAAGTGGAATTCAATAGCAGCAGTTTGAATCACAATCAAACCAGAAGGGACATTAAAGTTTTGGAGACGAGAGATTTTTAAATTCACAAGACATGTTTTCACTATCACACTGTCACCACTAAACTGGCTAGGTTGGCGTGAAGTTGTGGGTAGTTGATGGCCGGGTGAAGACCAAAAGTAAGTAATGAACAATCTCGAGCTTGAAGTAAATGAGCAAAATGTCTACCTTCTGATAAAATACAAGTCATTCCCATCTAGTACAGGAGTTACATAAACAAGAGCCTTCTGATGACCCCATAAAAATAAATCTAGAGAATTCATATCAGGACTGCGAGCTGGCCAATTTTGAGGTCTTACACGTCCATTCCAGCGATTAGGGTAGGTGATGTCATGATAATAAAAAAAGGTGGCGTAGTATACGATTATTTCTGTCATGAACATCGCGAAAATTTTACAATAAACGTTACTTAAAAATGAACGCTTTGTGCTTGGTTAGGGTTCTGGTTTCCACCATTGAAAAATATGAATCGGTGTTTGAGATAATGAGCTGTTTTTTATTTCTCCCTATTAATGCATGTTTCATTGCCCCATTCCAGCGAATAACAGAACCGTAATAAAAAACTGGTAATTCCCAATTTCAAAGTGGAAGTGTAAAAAATTCTGTGATACTTTTATATTAGTTCAATGAAAGTTGCTACAACAAAGTGTATACAGATATCTAAAATTTCTCTAAGGAGTATGCAGCCAAAACTAGAATTCCGACATTTTGGGTTTTTCCCGTTCATCTCCGAAACCAAAGAAGTTACGTAGCGATTTGTTAGTATTGAAAATAATTCTTGAAAACAGTCAATTTTTCCATAATTTTATCTCCTATCCATCTCTTACCGTTTATTCGGTTAATTCATTCTATTTAGGGACTCAATATGGTAGACACACAAAGTTGATTTAATATGAAACGATGATACAGGTACCTGAATATTTTAATCTGGTAGATGTACAAAGTTGAATTTTTAGTATACGAATTTTTCAAGTATTTTCATCCTATTTTCACACCATATTAGGTTAGGTTAGGTCCAAAGTGAGTGGGTCTATTTGACACTCCACCGCGACCCGCAAGGGTTTATTGTGGCTCACACCTATTCACACTCGATCAAATAAACCCAGTTTTTTAACGAAGCCCATTAGTTTGTATGGTGAGTGGTTTTTCAGGTCAGATGGTAAGATTCTAGGCACAGGTAGGCACAGAGTATGTTCTCTGCTGTTTCATCATTTTCCAAACAGAGGCGACACACATTGTCTTCCGACAGTCCGAGTCTCTGCATATGATGATTCAAATGACAGTGACCTGTAAGAAGGCCTGTTAGACATCGCAGTTCATCCCTACTGTAGTCCAACAACTGTTTGGTATCAAGCTTAGAAGGATAAATGAACGCCTTGGTTCACAGCATATTATATTGAAATCTAGTAGGTGTGAAAGAACAATGGAGAAAAAATTGATTATTTAATATCGGGGTAATTTATAGATGTGACTTAGGTCTCCAATAGAATAGCAAACGCACTTTTTTGAATAGAATCCAGCAAGCAGCTTCAGATTCTGTTTGGGAAAGATCAAATTAAAATTTTGTAGTTAATGACATTTCAACAGTTTGAATCTAGGAATCGCATTGATCTTTTCAAAAGGATATCAACCAAAAATGTTTAAAGCCCTGCCGATTTACAATATTATGTTCAACTCATTAATTTGTCATTGAAAATAAAGTATCAACTTCCAGGGGACCTAATGGGGTATGGACTTTGGAAAAAGAAGGTAAAAAACCCAACATAAACATTTCTTTCAATGACGCCATCCCAACAAAGACACACATGGCCCTAAAACGTTTAACAGAAGAGAGTTATCTGCATTATATCATCAGTCAGAATATAGATGGATTGCATTTGAGAACAGGTATTCCTAGATCTTCTTTGGCTGAATTGCATGGAAATATGTTCACTGCCCAATGTAACGTTTGTGAAAGGTAAGAAAAATATTGATATAGCAGTTATTGCATATTTAACGTAGGAATTACGATATTTTTCAGACACTGGCATCCTGCCAAGTGATTATGAAAAAGTTTAATATTTCAATTGAAGTTCAAAATAAACAAATTCGATATCTATGCTAAAGTAATAATGAAACAAACGTTAAATATAAATTAAAGTAGATGAAAAAGTCAATAGGGGAACCATTTATTGGAAAACATCTTTTTTTAGTAGAGTTTCAACCAGTCATTGTCAATATTGGTCGGTTAGAGAGGGTACGAGAAATTTCAAATGAAAATTTAGCTCGAAAAGGCACGAGTGGGGTGGAAAATATTTTTTTCTGTTTGAGTTTCAACCGTTTACATTCAGAAAGCATTTTCAGTTCTTCAGAGCCTAGATATAGGAATTTTGAAGAAGAAATACGAACTTCTTGAAAATGCTATTACAGAATTGATAGAAAGCCTGAGATTTATTGTAGTACAATAAATTGTATTGTTGCACAACTTCAAACATACATATTTCATTCGTTTATTTTATAATTGTTAATACCTGTATACCGAAAATAAAGTTTGTTTTGGGAAACCACGAAAGTTGCAAAAAAAATTAATTTTCTTTTCATGAAATTTATTAGGATATTTCAACATCGAGCGAGAAGATTACATATTTAGGTAAAATTTTATGTTACAAATCTATAGCAGAGGTGTTTGTTTGTTACAATTGGACAAAGAAAAAAATATGATTTTGATATCAATTGAGATTCTATATGCAGAAGTTATGAAACTATACAAATCGTATATTTCATCTTCTGGATTAGTCAGGTTATGCTTTGCTATTCATTGTAGTACAAGGTGGAGTTTCTTTGAAATGAATAAATACCCAACACCAAACCGTTATTTTAACACCTCGACACGTGTTTCGATCACCAAGTGATCATCTTCAAGAGGAAGATCGAACTAATCATACTTACAAAGCTATCCTGTTCTAGGTAGCGTCTTGAGTGTCTTAAATTAATTTTTACAATTTGCCTTATCTACTTGTCTTAAATTCATTTTACAATGTGTCCTTATGTAATAGTCAGGTAAATCTAAAATTGAAATATTATAAGCTATATAAAATTAATTTCACATATTGCCTTATCTACTAGTCTTGAATAAATTTTACAATGTGTCCTTATGTAATTATAAGGTGAATCTAATAATTGAAATATTATAAGCTATATCAAATTAATTTCACAAATTGCCTTATCTACTTGTCTTAAATCAATTTTACAATGTGTCCTTATGTAATAGTCAGGTAAATCAAATAAATAAAATATAATTTTAACAAGATAGTATACTATTAGGTATTGGTCCACCATCGTTATTCACAATATTATTATGTTTACTTATTTCTACTCTCTCCTAGGGATCTAGACTCCTGTTGTTGTTAACCTGTCTAACAAATCTTACTGAACTGATTTTCATCTCACATCTAGGTATCTAAGAAATTTTTATTGTATTGGTTGCAAGCTCTATAATATTCTTGATGTTCATATAAAATCATCCCCCAATGTTCACATTTTTAAATCAAAACTGAAAAAGATCCTACTTAGTAAATGTTGTTATTCCATAGACGATTTCTTTTTATGATAATAATTTTCTATTTTTGAACTATATAATTGATTTTTTATGTATACATGTATATGTAAATTTGTATTGTAACCTTTTTGCATTCAAATGATAAAATAAAGGAATATTATTTTTAAATGAAGTCTATGGAATGGTTTTGTTGCAAAATATGATGGGCGACTGCTGATTTTTCAGATCTTCCATATTTTTAAGTGCGCTAAGTGTTCCTTATATCTTATTTTGATAGATTTTTTTGTCTGTCCATAATATTTTGCATCGCAGTCCTTACATTTAATTTCATAAATTTCAGACTTTTCCGAATTCTCGACTTTGTCTTTTGGACTTCCTAAAAGCCTCTGTAGTGTATGACTTGTCTTTAAAACCACCTTCATACCTAGTTCCTTGAAAATCTTTCCAAAGTTCTTCGTGTATTGGTGGTATGGAACTGAGATATATTTATCTTGGTTTTTGTCCTTTCTAAAAGTGGAAATTTCGTTCATTCTTAACCTAAACTTCTTCCTGTATTGTACGTTTTTCTTTTGTGAACCTCTCATGTGTTAGAGGAAAAGTCAAAAGATGATGAACTGGAAAATTCAACCCAGCACGTTTGTGCTGTCCATGTATTTTTGTTGCGTATCATGTGTTTTGTATCTTTCTTATCACTTAATATAGTTTATATTTTATTTTAATCATTTACATTTTATACATTTATACTCCACATCATATACTTCATGTTTATATTAATATTTATTTATGACATTGTGATTGTAACAAGAATATTGTTCTTAAACAATAAACATATTATCAATTATTTCTCAATAACATTTTGCCTAAAAATAATTGATTCATGCTATAAATCAGTGTTTTCATTCATTCATTGAAAACTTTGTCATCCCATGCCATAAATATAAAATTTTAGGATTTCATATTCAGGAAAATCCTCAGCAAGCTTGTTAAACATAAATGGTAAGGTCAAATTGTCGTTAGGTTGATAGATGAAATTCATTATGTTGCTGTATTTTTCAATATATCAAATTCATTTTAGCTGGCAATAATTCATTCCAGTACTTATTCATTTACTCAGTTTATTTTGATTTCGAACCAAATATTTTGGTCCATCCTTGTCTATATCGAAAATAATATTTTCTTATGAAATACATTATTGACTATCACTATGTATGGCCATGTTGAATCAAATTGCAGGAACACATTTTCTCATTCCACAGTACTAGCGTTTATGTTTATAGCCACTGACATGGTACTTTATAATCCTGAATTATATCATGAGTATTATCAATATAACAATGTTATTAAAATGAATTTGTTTTTAATCAGCCAATTTGTTCGAACCGAAGCTACCTCAACTGTGGGCAAAAAATGTCTGAATGAAGACTGTAAAAGGTCTGCTATGCTTCGTGGGCGGACTTGCCGTGGTAAACTGCATGATACGATTCTAGATTGGGAGGACAGTCTTCCAGAATATGATCTTGAGATGTCAGATTATCATTCTAGGTGAGTTAAATAATCTTTTATTTTCTCAACCCATCATTCAGTGAATTGACATATCAAAATATAACACTGTCCTCATAAAAAGTGAAACTAATATGTTTAACAGAAAAGTAGATGATTAAAAAAATTGTTCAGTAATAATATTGTGATAATAGTTTTCCTAACTCATATTCTGTGTAATTTATTAGGGGTATGTTTGGGAACATGGGATTTATATAATTAATGACTTGACTTAAGATGAATAAATGTAGATTTAATTTCAAATTTCGTCACTTGAAAAGTTGACATTGAATTTAGTTTACATTTATGAAGGTTTTTACTTATCATAAACCTATGAATATCTAAAATAAAATGTAAGGATTGATAAGTGAATTTAAATGTTGCATTTGTCAAATGTCACAATTGAAAAGTGAATGAAATATATACTCAACCTATTTCAGGAAATGATATTTTTTTCTGTTCATTATCAATTTCATTATCTTTTCTAACAATATGCTAGTATTTATATAGCATGATGTTCATTTGGCAGGGTTAAATGAAGGATTCGTAGGGCCCATATTTTTATAGCAGAAATTGTTGTATTTTCCAGTACTAACAACAAATCACTTTCATTTAAAATAGTAAATATGACACATTTTTATTTCAAAAAATCTTTTCCACTTAAAATTAAAAACAATGCGATTTGCTTTCACCAAATAAAATATCATTTTTAAAACTGGATGAGCATCATACATACAATGTCTGAGTGATAATTTTCAAGTTAACAAATATAATTTTAATTAACCTTCTTATAATGTTCGTCCTTACAGGTTTATTTGTCAAAAAAAAATGTTATTTTCTACACAGAGCATTTCCAAGCTGATTCAACTATTGCTAACTCGAAAATGATATGACTTGCATGGCACAAAAATGGTCCATGTGAGGGGACAATAAAATCTTTTTTTCAGATCACGTCAATAGTCGTTCTTGAGATATCTCAGATAACTAAATTTCCGAATTTTGTTTGTAATAAATGAAATTATTGATTGCCTGGTAACCTGCGTTTTTAAAGTTGAAGAAAGGTTCATTATTAGAAGGTGACTTATTTGCACTATAAACAATATTTTTTTTATGGTGAATACTACTGAGAAACAGATAGACATCTGCCATAAACAAACCAGGATTAAATATATTGAAAAAAACTAAATCTAATAATTCGTTTCCTGTATTTACAATGAAATTAGTTAAAAAAATATATGTTGGAAATGATGTAAATGATTAGATAATTTTGCATCTATTGTATATTGATTTTTTTGCTCAGTTACAATTTGTTGTTTATAAAAAATATATTAATATTGTCAGACTAATTTTGTTAAAATAAAGCCAATTTTTGAACATAATTTATTGTAGGGGGGGTTTCTTCAAACTATTTTATATGTCAATTCCAGTTCCTACAATATGTATATAATTGAATATATCAGCAAGTAGCATGGGTTGTTTGAACTGCTGAAAGTAACTTCCAAATTTTCATTATACTGCATCTGAGATGCATCTGAGATATTATAATCACTACATATAATAAACTTGCAGTTTGGATTTGCTATAACCAATGATTCCACTGAATAACAATGGTTTTCATATAAAGTTGTGTCAGTAGATGGAGAAATACAGCTACCAGACTGAGTCATGGCCGGTACGAGAAATCGTACATACATACTTATTGTAATGAGAGAGGGGCTTCTTACCGGGCACGATTCAGTCCGGCATCTGTACAATGACTACCAAAAAATATTAATTAACAAAGTATATGAAAAAATAATATAATTTGTTTAAGTGATTTTTCTTACATAATAAGATAATAAAAAGTGAAAAAATGAACATTATATGAACCCAAAAATTTGTGTAAGCGGGCATAATTTCGATAATATCAAATTACAATAATACACAATATATGCTCAAACTGTTCTCCATTATCTGCCATATATGAGTATAACTGGCTTCTATTGACGTTTTCAATTGAACTGAAGAAGACATGAGCACAGGTATAAGTTTGCTTCGAACCCTCTTACATTCTGGAGCATTTCTAGAGTACCTCAGGACATTGCTTTTCCTGCAATCGGTCGCCATATTGAAAAGTTAAGCAGTGAAGAGTCACATGGTTGAACTTCCTAATAAATTAGCACTATTTTCCTATTCAAATTGTAAGGATGATGGCACCAACATGCAGGACAGGAGGTATGACAGATGAGGTTATGTTAGAAATATGTTCCCTTAATTGAAAATCGACCTGTTTTTACTGTTTTTCTCAACAAATATGTTTTGAAGATATTCGATATATTTCGTTTTCAGTGCAACACACTGCAAATTGATTTCTTTCCAATTATTGGTTGAAAATTTTCTAAATGGTTTGTTTTTCAATGTTTCTGATACGCAATTAAAAAAAAAAGATTTTTTAGGAATGAAATAGTTTTTTTTTTTCAGTGTAGCAGATCTCAATATTTGTTTAGGAACCACCCTTCAAATAGTTCCTAGTGGAAACTTACCGTTGAGGAACAAAAAATATGGAGGAAAAGTTGTTATTGTGAATTTACAATCTACCAAACATGTAAGTATTTCAAGTGGAATACTAGCAATAATAGCAATGTTTCTGAATTTTTCATTATTTTTTCATAAGGCTTCTTGAATACCAATTAATTTTCCAGGATAAAAAGGCTGATTTAATCATAAATACCTATGTGGACGATGTGATTGTGAAAATTATGAAAAGACTAGGTCTTGAAATTCCTGAGTATTCTTCTGAAATCGATCCAACAAAATATCGTGATTCTGATTCTGTAGTGGAGTGGAATATTCTGAAACAGGATGTGGAAAAAATCAAATTGCAATATGATAAACTTATCAAAGATTATAAGAAACGGAAAGCAGAGGAGAGTTTATTAAATATTAAGAAAAAAATGCCTAAGAGTAAAAAGTGGATAAAGGAAGAGAAGATCAAGAAAGAAAAATTGGTAAAAAAAGAAAATATTGTGTCTGAAGATATCAACATACAAAAAAAAATTGAAGATCAGGATGATATTTTCGTTGAATGACATTTGTGATTTTTTTATGTTGCTAACCTGTACCAAAAAAAATGATTACAAATAACAGTTGAAAAAAATTTTTTGATACCACAGTATTTTGTAAGTAAATCGAAACCCACAAATTTCGTATTTTGTCGTATTTCCAGGTGAAGTTGGATATAAGGCTTTGAATCCTTTCTTTCACTCTATCCTACTATACTCGTATGACCATATGAGTTCTACCTTTTATATTATTGAGTCGACGTCGATGACCATTTATTCATGCTTCTTTCCTCGTGTAAATACACGAGGGCAGCATGACATGTACCATTGTCAATGACGCCATTTAAAAAAAACAGATAAGATAATACTAGGTTCCTTTCACGAACTTACTCAGAGTGCGATATACTTACTTCGAAGTTGTATTTCAAGTAAACTCTGCTCTCAGGTAGAGTTAAGACATTCTGACATACTATGACACTTATGATTTATTAGAAATCAGAATAAGTCCGGAGACTGTATCGAGGAGAAATATGTATAAGAAAATAAATATGTCAAAATGATATCTGGAAACATTTATATCTCCCAACATTCCTACACAGTAGGGTCTGGTGAATGCGACTACTTTCCCAGCTAATAGCACAGTTGACATTGAATTATATCTGACAGACATATATGTAAGATATCTCACAGAGATTAGTCTTGCAGATGTGTTCTGTTCATCAAGCAGTAAGACCACGCTGAACTCAATCGAGTAGATCACCCACAGACCGGTTTCGAGATAATACCTCCCGTCAATGCAGGAAATATCCTACCCTAACAGCAGTATGCCTGGGACACGACTGGCTTCAAAGCAGCTCGAAAACGAAAGTTTCATACATGCAGTCGAGCCGTGTTGAAGTCAGCCGTGTCCCAGGCATACTGCTGTTAGGGTAGGATCTTTCCTGCACTGACGAGAGGTATTACCTCGAAACCGGTCTGTAGGTGATCTACTCGATTGATTTCAACATGGTCCTGCCGCTGGTTGAAAACGAAACATCTGCAAGACTAACATCTGTGAGGCTTCTTGCATAATATCATGTTGAACGTGTTGTAAAGATGAGTAATTTAAAATATTATTGCTGAATCTGGAAACATTTATATCTCCCAACATTCCTACACAGTAGGGTCTGGTGAATGCGACTACTTTCCCAGCTAATAGCACAGTTGACATTGAATTATGTCTGACAGACATATATGTAAGATATCTCACAGAGATTAGTCTTGCAGATGCGTTCCGTTCATCAAGCAGGAAGACCACGCTGAACTCAATCGAGTAGATCACCTACAGACCGGTTTCGAGATAATACCTACCCTAACAGCAGTATGCCTGGGACACGACTGGCTTCAAAGCAGCTCGAAAACGAAAGTTTCATACATGCAGTCGAGCCGCGTTGAAGTCAGCCGTGTCCCAGGCATACTGCTGTTAGGGTAGAATCTTTTCTGCACTGACGAGAGGTATTACCTCGAAACCGGTCTGTAGGTGAGCTACTCGATTGATTTCAACATGGTTCTGCTGCTGGTTGAACACGAAACATCTGCAAGACTAACATCTGTGAGGCTTCTTGCATAATATCATGTTGAACGTGTTGTAAAGATGAGTAATTTAAAATATTATTGCTGAGATTTAACATTATTAACGAAATCTTCCTATTTCGACTGGAATACTTCAACCATTGTATAAAGATAAAAGGATAGAAACACAGCGCCTGTAATAAACTCGTTTGGAGTAATTTCGCGCGCCATCTAGTACTTTAACGTTCGTTCTTGATATTTTTGCCATTAAAATAACCTGTACTGATGCGCCATCTGAAACAAATGCTATTATTTTAAGGAACTGAAGAATTTAGCTTGTAAATGGTAGATTCGGGTGAAATTTTCTGTCACATCACATTTTAACTGTGTCGAGCCCGACTGTGTAGGCATTATAACCTTTTATGGCTTGTATTAGGAGCCGAATGAGTGTCAATAAAAATTGAATGAGACGAAAAGTGATATGAATGTGAGTTTTGTTTTTAGGTAGGTATTTGGCATAATTTTTTTTCTTACAAAAAAATAATTTCGCAGTTTAAATTGGAAACATCCGATTCCTCAATCGAAAATCCATAGCTGGAAAAAAATTGAATGAATAGAAAATATTTCTGAAGTTTTGAGAATATGTTAATGATGTAATAATAATGGTTTTTCTTCTCGGTACTTTTTCGATTGATTTTAAAGAAACTTTATATATACCTACCTCAGAACCGTACGACAATGCAATATGATCATTACCTAATATGTTATTAATGATAACATGATAATAATAATGTTTCTGTGTTTGATTCAAATTTTGCAATCCATATTAAACAAACTTTATACATAGCTCTGAAGTGGATGACAATGTAATATAATTGCCTTATATGTTATTAATGATAACATAATAATAATGATAATGATAATGCGTGTATGTCGGTACAAATTCGTAATCGATTTCAAACCAACTTCTGACCATTTTTATATGTTAATCTTCATAAGGAATTATAAGGTTCACTCTGGCGATTTTGATCTTTTTGGGGTGGAGGTAACAATCAGAGCGGTGCCTTTTGGCGTTCATTTTGACGTAGTCGAGACAGATAGTCGAGCGCGCCGCTGAATTATAAAAAGAATTATGATTGTAGATGGTGAAAATGATATAATAATAATAATGATGAATGAAAATTTATAGACTGCTTTTCAAAAAAGACATAGCGGTTATGTCATTCAAGAGAAAAACATGGTTGCATGAGGCAGAGAAAAAACGCATCATTGGGGATATAGTGATTCAAAATACATCATTAGAAACAAAAACGGCGGCAATGCAATGGAGTATACAGGGGTATATCAACATTTTGTTATCGAGGTGGGGGAGACATAGCTCTCAAATTACAAAGTGCGAAACCATCGAGCAAAGCGTTCTCGATTTGGAGAAGGAAAAAATGGTTAACGTTATACAGGGGTGGTTCAAAATTTTGTTTTCGAAATGTAGGGAGACGTAGCCCCAACAAAACAACTACTCGCCCATATAGATATTGAATTACATCCGACATTTATTTGTGCAATGTTCATCAAAGAGGGCATTTGACAGCAAAATCTTTAAAGAGATTGTTTGGATGATACTCGCTTGTATCATTCATTTTAACGTGCGATCCCAATGAGAGACGTATACAGGGTGTCTCAAAAACGTCAGGGTGCTATGTTTAATGCAATTGACGTTCGAAGTTGTGCAATGGGGAAGCGAAGTATTCGGCAATAACATATGGTTTCTCAAAATACG